GATGTTCACATGCCAATCTCCGGATTTCCTGTGCATGAAGAAATGAGGACACAGTGTGGAAACGTGCTTGCCTGAAGCTTCGTTTTGTTTTTTTATCCTGGCTCCAGCCCCAGGCGGCCCTCATCTCGTCAGGAGAGGAACACTGGCCGAGTCACAGCCAGGCGTGCTGAGTGGAGACAGGTGCGTAGGGAGGGCTCCAGGTGGGGACTGTCCCATGTGTAGGAGAGGAATCCAGGGACAGGGAGAGGCCGGGTGGGCAGCAGAGGCACAGGCCAGTCGGATGCAAAGCAGGAAGTGAAACTTCCTCTTCCCATTGTCATCTGGATCCTCCTTCTCTGTGTGGGGATCCTCACAGTCACACCTTGCTGAGCCAGCTGGTGGCCGGCCCTGCGCACAGGAGGGACCTCCTGGGGCCCCCAGGGGAAGACACACACACAAGGCCCCAGCTCAGTTGCTCTCCCAGACTCTCTCCCCACTTTCTTGGAGGGTGCAAAGAGATGGAAGAAAATCTGAATAACTAATCCTAAGTAGTACACGTTATGCCATTTCTCCCAGAGAAACCTCTTTCCTTTAAACTCGGAAGGCACTTAGAGCCCATACCAGTTAGTGCTAAATTATTTTCCCTCTTGGCCCGTTTACTATTGGTTCTTCACTAATTTGGTCTCTCCGACTCAAGTCCAACTTCCTAGAGGGCAGAGGATGGCATGATTTCAGTACCATATCTCCCCACCATCCCCTATATCTAGTATGGCTGAAATACATGGAGTATATAATTTAGTTAAAACGAGCTGAAAAGACATATATCATGACATCCTATCCCAAATATATAATGTTTATCAATATGAGCAGGTATAATAGAGAACATTGGCGTGAATAGGCTTGTTTTGAAAAGCAGGAAAATCTCAAGCAGAAGCTGCTACTAGCACATGTGGGCTGAGGAAGTCTCCCGGCAGCAGCCTGGCCTCTATGGCCAACCCTCGAGGAGCCATTTGCACTGGCTGGGATCAGGCTACATTGCCCAGAACATTGTGGGTCATGGCCCTGGGACCAAACATGTCTCAGGAGAAATCCAGTTCCTGGTTCTACAGGCGAGTGCCTCCAGGTGCCTGCATCGCAGTTACCCAGGGCCCACTCACCTCAAGGCAGAGTTGGGTATCCAGATGACTAGAGGCAGCAAAGGACACGATTCTGGAGTTAGGGTTGGGAATGGCCCCATTTTCCCTCTTTGATAGAAGTCAACACTCCAGGACATTTGAACGGTACCAGAGGCTGCCACAATGGCCACAGCAGCGACAGCTGAGACTGGCCCCTGGCAGGAGCCAATAACTCTGCAGGATCAGAGAGGTGCCAGAGAACCTGACCACGGAAATGTTTTTGTCCAGGCTGGTAGTAACACACACTCTTCCACCCTTGATACCAACAGAAATAAGCAGCAATCTTGGGCTCAGTGGCTCACACCTGTAATCCCAGCATTTTGGGGGCAGAGGTGAGCAGATTGCTTGAGCCCAGGAGTTGGAGGCCAGCGTGGGAAACATGGTGAAACCCCTTCTCTACCAAAAAAAATAAAAAAACACAAAAATTAGCCATGCCTGTAGTCCCAGCTACTCAGGAGGCTGAGGTGGGAGAATGACTTGAGCCCAGGAGGCGGAAGTTGCAGTGAGCTGTAATCACACTGCACTCCATTCTGGGCAACAGAGCAAGACATTCTTAAGAAAAAAAAAAAAAAAGCAGCAATCTTCTCCAAGGATCAAGGGAGGGCGCCATCAGTTAGTACTTTCTAAAGCTGTGTCATTATCTCTTTTTAGCCCACTTCCTCTCCCTCCCCATCCCTCAGTCAAGTCCCTAGGATCTGAGTTTGCTTTTGAAGCTTGAAGTGGCCTTCAGCTCAGAGACATCTCTCTGGGGACCCTGCTTCTCTTTTCTACATCTGTCCCAATAGTTGGAGCAGGCGCTGAAACAGCTTAAGGTGAGCAGCAGCCACCTGTTCCCAAAAGGCCTTTAGCTTGGATTCTCAGCAGACAGTGGAACATCAGTTTCATACACATTTTGTGTTTCTCACCCCGTCTGCAAACCTTTCCTTTGCAGAGTATTCCAAGAATGGAGCACAGAGCTTCCCAGAAGCACACTGTGGCTTGAGTTTGGACTAGAATTTAATGTTCCCTCTACCTCAAGAGAATCCATGATGTGTATCTCGACACCAGATGCCACTAGGAGTCTTCCTGTCCCTTATCATTTTAGTTAAGAAGTGACTCGCTGGTGTCATCCTTGCTTCACAGAGGGAGGAGCCCAGGCTTCAGAGTCTGCCCTTTTGGAAAGGAAGAAGGAGGGAGAACGGGGAAAGACCTGTGTGTGCAGCACTATGGAGACAGTTCACTATGTCAAGTACAACACATTTCCTTAGTCTCATCCGAAAGCCATGATGGACAGAGAGGTGTGGAAAATCTAAGATCACAAATATGCCATGAGAAAGTATCTTTGTTTCTACTGCTACTTTACAAAACCACATCTCTAACTACTAACACTTCAAATTCCCTCAAAATAAGCTTCTTTTCCCAATTGTCCCTCACTACTAACTATAGTCAAGATCTGGAATTACTACGGAAATTTAGCATCTGAAAGAAACAGGAGATTATGATTAACCCCTAATTACAATTGGGCACAAACTTACTGCTTTTCTTCTACCTTTTCTAAATGTACCCAATGCTCTTCTTGTTTTCTGCCAGGTGTTCTAGTCACTGCATGATGGGATTGTTACTTTTGCCACTTCTCTGGACTCCTCACTCTTAATCATTTTAAACGTGGTTAAAATGACAATCTTTACCATATTTGATATATAACTTTTGAAAAGAATAAAACTTAGCACCCTCCTGTTAGTCCTTATCTAAATGGACACTTATTACCCGAGCATCAAGGGCCCAGTGAAGTGCCCCCTCTTTGGAAATTTATCTCTACTTTCTTTTATATATTTAAATCATGTCAATTTCTTATTGTTCTTCTAAATAGGTGCTGATTACTAAACTCTATTCGTGGGTTTTATTTTTTATGTTCCTCTCCATTAATTTTCTTCACTGACTTTAAGACTTCACGATTCATTCTTTTAAAAGAAGGTGTTTGATTTCCTCCACTGTTAACTGTTAAATAACTCTCTGATAATACGGTTTTCAGGCTATCTTTCTCATCTGGAGTAATTACGTTTCAAGTGTCAGGGGGAAATACATTTTCTATCCTGTGCAAAAACTCATGCTGGGCACTAAGAGCATGGAGCATGTCCCAGTTATCTATTGCTGCATAACAAACCAACCCAAACTTAGCAGTATAAAACAATCACTACTTTAGCATGCACATCAGTTTTCAGGGTCAGAAATTCTTTTCTGCTTTATGTATGGAGTCTCAGCTGGGAGTGACATAAATGGCTGGAGACAGACACTCCAGCCCAGTCCAGGCAACAGCCTCCGCTCCTGCGCACCCGCAGCCTGGGGCCCCAGGTTCCTGCGGTCTCAGCGACCCTAATCCTCCCATCTCTCCTTCCCACTCCCTCTCCAAATTATTTCAGAATTCCAAATTCTTATCTGGATCCTGCAAAGTAATTCAGCTAGCCTTCAGAGTCTCTCAGGTATTACCGTATTCGCTCAGAAGCTTGAATTTACCTATCTCAATCCACTCTCAGAAACACACTGGCCTTTTCAAGCCACGACATCTCCAACAGTAGCTGCTGTTAGAAACTGCAATTTCCCCTTCTCTGGGTATACATTTTAATAAATTGACTTATT